GTTGAGGATGATTACTGCAACGGACTTTGAGATAGATAGAAATATAACATATAACGACAAAAAAAACCAAGGTAAAAAAATATGAGAAATACATTAAATCAGAACTGACGTGGAAATAAGTATGGTTAGCTATAGTCATCAGGAAAATATGCACTAACCAAATGACTGTTATTATCATTCCATAGACCCATTTCTTAATAAAGCGATGCTTATAAGGACGAAAAGTAGCGTGTACTCGTTCTAATGAAATGACTGCGAGGCTAAGAAGGGAAACTGCAATGAATTGTATTCCCGCAACTCTCAATATACTTAACCAAGCGATATAACGATCCTTCCACAGACCACAATACCAGCTTCCATACATTTCAATCAGTAGAGGACCGGACACCAGCCCGACCAAGAGATCGACTATGGTCTGGTGGATGATCAAGTATGTACTCCGGCGCTGTAGCTGTCGCTGCTTCACAAATACGATAATGATGATAACATTGAGGATAACTATGGTCAAGCATTCAGTGCCTAATACAGCAAACCACGGAATACATTGTGATGCAGAGACCGGCCTCCAAGGCTCGTGGATCGTGTTACTATAGGTTCTCTTGTTGGGACTGGAAGTCATTGAGTTACACTACAACCAGCGACAGCCAACCGAGTGACCTGAACAGGAATGAAAAACACTTGTGATATGGAAAATATTCCAGCATAGCTGTTGGTATCATACTAATTACAGTTTTTGTGTAGGTTCAGGAGTTTAAACCTCGGAAATTCCTTTTAATTTGCACCAAAATTCAAGGAGATAAAGGAAACAAAGACAACCAATCTAAATAAAGCGCTTCAAGAAAGGAACACACGCACTTTCTAGTAAAACTCAAGCTAAATCTTTTGCTCACGTGAATTCTTGAAGGTGAAGATCCTTTTCCGTCACAGTATTAGTTTACCTCCAACAGTGAGTTCAAAGAACGGTTTGCTTAACAGGTGAGATCATTTTTCAATTTTTTAGGCGTAGGCGCGCGAGACGAACGCGAAGAAAGTGCGAGGATTGATGTGGAGACATTTCGTGATGACTAAGGTTCGTTATGAATGATGGTTAGTTGGTCTTGTAAATGGCGTGCTTGCATCAGGAAAAGAGAAATAAAGTGTGATCTGGAGTTATCCTTCGTTTAATTAATCGGCCATCACCTGGGGTGAGATAAGAGCAGGAGGCAGAGCTCCTCATGCCTTTCTCGCACTTTGTGTGCCCGCCTGAAAATCGCCTGACGCCTGTAGCACCGGCTGTAAGAGATGGTCTCTGTAGTTCCACCAGACTTAGTAGAGTTGATAGTGGTCACCTTTGTTTACTTCGGTTTTAAAATGGATGCAGACACGATGAAATTTGAAAAAAAAAAAAAACAGATCAATCAACAACTTCACAAATTGAGGTTTGAATTTGTGATCGATTTTAAAGTTTAATCATTTCAAATGTACATTTCACTTTCCAATAATGTAAAATTAAAATGATGTGTTTCACATTTCAGAAATGGTTTATGTTTTAGACACAGTCCAAAACATTTTTAGCAATATGTTTAAAGATTTTGAAGTGGGATATCGATCGGATTTATAGGGTTTCGAGCCCTTCGGAAAATTATTTGTAATATGCCTGTTCTTACTTCAGGCATCCGCATGGCGTAGATTATAGGATTTATTAAAGAGTTGGCCGCTACTATTGTTATCATAGCTATCTTAAAATGGACCAATGACTGATTGTAAAGAAGGTTGGAATTGAAAGTCCAAGCACCCCAGTATAGTACTATCAGTGGGAACGTTATTAACGATCCAAGGGAAACAAGACATAAGGAATTCGTCAGTTTTCTTTCCCTCTGGCCGGCTGCACCATGGTGTTGAGGATGACGACTACAATGGACTTTAAGATAGATAGAAATATAACTTACAACGACGATAAGAAGAAGGGAAAAATAATATGTGAAAAAAATTAGATTATAATAGGCGACGATGTGAGTCAAGGGCCGTACCGTTATTGCTATAGTGTTCATGACAGCAGACATCAACCAAATTATAGTTATCATCACTCCATAAACCCATTTCTTGATGAAGCGATGCTTGAAAGGACGAAATGTAGCGTGTGCTCGATCCAATGAAATAACAGCGAGACTAAGAAGGGAAGTTTGATAGACTTGTAAGCCTAAAATAGTTTCAACCATGCGTAACCAAGACCTACGTATACTATACTCCCATAGATCACAGTCATAGCTCCCAAACCATTTAATCCACAGAGGCCCAGTCACTGCTCCAACCAAGAGATCAGTTATGGCCAGATGAATGATCAAGTATTTACTTTGGCGCTGAAGCTGGCGCTGCTTCACAAATACAATAATGGTGATGATATTAAGGATAACTATGGCCAGACATTCAATGCTATACACAACAAGCCATGGGATACATTGTGATGCAGCGAGCTTCCAAGATCGAGACCCGATAGTCACCATTGAGTTCCACTAGCTTGAGCAAAAGATCTAAATAGGGGTTGAAAACGTTCAACTTTTATCAAAAAATAAACAGCAATGTTTCGGGTGTCGTCTAGTAGGGTTTTTTCGTGAGTTTACGAATTTACCTATGGGCATCATACGTGACTAGCTGCGAGTTTTGGGGGAATTCATACAAAAAGAAGACGGCGATGCCGTTAAAACCGCAAAGGCACGACAAGTAGTTTCTTAAATAATTCCTTCCCACGATTCTTCCACATCAGCCGTTAATTTTTTTGGCTCGGATCGTCTGCCGCAGGATAAAAAATGTCCACATCATACGTACCCCAATAACAAAAACGTGGATACCAGAGCTAAAAAATCATCACAAGTACCGCATCGTAGGAATCCTCTATTTAGAAATACAACTGATGCCAACAACAATCGTCTTGCAAGGAAAGAATCCTCTAACCTTTGTATCAAGGATCCAAATACATGCGCCTGTCAGACAAACCACAGCGATATCCAGGTGAAGATCAATTCTCACTCCAAACACTGGATAATTGATGTCAAGTGGTCGCATTGTCTAAATGAATGATAAAAAGCTTTTGCTACTTAATTTTGAACCATAAAGTAGATCAAGAAAGCCACTGAAATTGTCTGGTCAACTGGAAATGTCAAAACCGAGACATCTCTGTCACCTCCAATAGATTTGACGTCCATTGGGTAGATAAAATGAAAATTATATTTATCTTTCAATGCGCGCCAGAATAAAGTGTTTAAAATGAAGAATATTTTCTACCTATAAATGTTCTTTTTCGCCGCGATAACTTAATTAGTTGTTTTGTTATCTGATGAAGTTACAAAAATAATATTTTTCTACAACGGTACGTGAACATTCAATCCGACTCGTGAGTTACATACCAACAGTAGAATGCCTCGACATAGTACAACAAAAAAGAAACTTTTGTCATGCATCATTTCATGGTTTGCCGATATCCTGTAAAAATAGTCTGGAATTATACGGGCGAGTTTTCAGGGGTTTCAAATTTTTTCCACATCACCCTGGCAAACAAAACTTTAACTTATCAATACCTTTCAGGTTACACTTATTTCCGCTTAATTCAAGCATAGTTAAATTTACAGCCCTTACTTTTTTCGCTCACAAAACCGTCATAAAAAATAAATGCTGTAATTTGGGTATGGACAACGAGTATTTTACTGCCACCTATTCTTAGGTTAGTTAAAGGTGGCCAAAGTTGCCGTTATTAATGCAAAAACTGCCTTTTAATTTCTACCAATTATTATGGAGGCTGCGAAAGGAAACAAAGACAGCTATATAATTGAATGAGTCTGTCGGAAAGCACTTTAAGAAATCAACACTTTTTCGACTGAGCTAAATCTATTCCAACACGGTTGACTGAAAAAGTGCAATTACCATGATATGTGGAACGAAGTGCGCTCGAGTAAAAAATTTGGGACTAACCGACGAGAGAAAGTTTCCTGAAATTTTTAAAAAGACAAATACTTTTTTTCTTTATTATTGAGCTGCTCTGGCATCGCGGCTTGGAGAAGCTGAGGGATGAACCTTCTCCCTTTCAGTATTAGATCAACGCCAACAGAGAGTTCATAGCCCAGCCTGCTAAACAGGTGCCGTTATTTTGCCTTTTTAGACCGAGGCAAGTGCGAGAGCAATGCGCGGTAAATGCGCGGGTTGAGACACACCCAAGTGGAAGAGCTCCTCGTTTTGCGTATGGCTAGCACCTCGCGCTCCCCTTGCGCTTCCTCCGCTCACATAAAACACACACAAAAAGACGCCTGTGTCACAGGCTGGTGAGATCATCTCCATAGTTCCATCAGAGTTTGTGGAGTTAGTTAGTAGACCCCCTCTACTAACTCTAGTCCCATGATGGATGCAGGTGCGGTGGACACTCGGTTATTTTGTCCAGCCAAAAATGCTTGAAAAATAATTATATCTCGGCAAAGTAAGTTTTTAGTATTTACATAGTTACATAGTAAGCTGGATTATACGCACATTTTGAGTGAAAGACGGACACATAGATGACGTCTTCATTAACAACATTCTACCTCTCTATTATATCAGATGAATAGATTCCATTTTTCCGTGTGTCTCCTCGTCAATAGATCACAATTGACGTCAAAATTTAGCAACAGCGTCACGTCATTGCCACACTGGGTTGTATCTCTTGTATTAAAAATGTTTACCGCATCAAATTATCAAGACCAAAACCTGGAGGAGAACTTTTATTTCAGTTTCCAAATCATTAATTCAGTCTTATGCATAAATAGTAGATCTCTCTATCTATCTCTCTCTCTCTCTCTCTCCCTCTCTCTCTCTCTCTCTCTCTCTCTCTCTCTCTCTCTCTCTCTCTCTCTCCCTCTCTCTCTCTCTCTCTCTCTCTCTCTCTCTCTCTCTCTCTCTCTCTCTCCCTCTCTCTCTCTCCAACTATGGTTCTTCACAGACTGATGTTAAAAAGCAAAGAAAACATTATAGACGAACTTCAATATCTAATTCAACCT